CGGTTCCGAGGAGCCACCCAGCGATTTTGGGGTGGGGGGTTCTGCACCTGAGGTGGGTGCAGGGGCTGCGGGGGACCTGGTTGCGAGTGATGGTGAGGGTGGGGAGGACCTGGAGGCAGCTGCTGAGGATGCTGGGGAGATTGTAGCTGGAGCTGCTGGTGTTGGGGTTGATGAGGCAATGGACTCTGCAGCATGGGCTGAGGTTGGGCCAAGAGATGATGCTGCACCAAGGGCTGAGGCGGGAGCATCTGCTGCACAAGAGGGGGTTTGGTGATGGAGCCTTTGTCCTCCCAGGTCCCAATGTTCATGTTATGCTTTATCGGCGGAGGAGGAATTGTGGCACCGCTTCCCAAACCCATGTTGGGCTTCGTCTTCAACTTGGGCTGAGGTTTCGCCGGTTTCCTCGCGATGGCAGCCCACGAGGTTGGTTTTGGTGCGGAGGAGCTGACGGGTGGCATGATGTTGGCAGCCATGCTACTCATACCCACCATCCCACCTAAAGGAGAACCAACCGTTTTAGTAACCGCCGACATGTCAGAGCCGAGCTTGAGCCCGGCCATTCCCTGATCGATACTACTGAGCCCTGGAACTTTACTAAGTTGCGAGTCACTGCCAAATCCGGCCTGTCCGTCAGCAATGGCCCGTCCCAATGAGCTCGGGGGATATCCGTAACTGCTGCTGTATGCTGAGCTCTGTGTAGACTGTCCCTGAGAACCACTGGTGCCCCAGGTGGAAAAGTCTGCATTTCCAGGAAAGAAGTTAAATCCGTGTTGGCTGAGAAAAGGGGGCGTGTTGCCCAAAGCACCAGGCTGGCTGAAGACTCCGTCGGGAATGAAGTGATGCTCACCATTGCTCATCTGTCCATACGTGGTCAGGTAAGGCATAGGCGGATCTCCTGCGGTGGACCAAGCAGCCTCTCCCAGGGAGTAAGGGAATCCGATAGATGGAGCATAATAGCTGGGCATGTAGGGATCAGACATTGGTGGGTAACTATTACTCTGTAGGGGGTAATTAAAGAGAAGTCAGTAATGATGATGTAACAAACCAGTGGCTAAATAAAGATAAAAACATCAAACATAATCAGTGGGGAAAAAAAGTGTCAAACACACTACCGTTCAAAGTTTTTAAGAATTTAATACTTTTATTCACCAAGGATGCACTAAATTGATCAAAAATAAAGACATTTATAATGTTGCAAATGATTTCTATTTTCAGTTATTGCTGTTCTTTTAAATTTTCTATTGATCAAAGAATCTTGAAAAAAAATATGTATCACAATTTCCACAAAAATATTAAGCAGCACAACTGATTTCAACATTGATAATAATGATAAATGTTTCTTAAGCACCAAATCAGCATATTAGATGGATTTCTGAAGAATCATGTGACACTGCAGAAATTATAATAATATTTCACAATATTACCATTGTTTAAAGTATTTTTAATCCATAAATGCAGCTTTGATGAGTGTAAGAGTCTTCTTTCATTTAAAAAATCTCACAGACTATGGTTTTGAATGGTAATATACAATATAGATGTTAAGTATCAACAAATAATAAAATATGGAAGAGGTCAATGATTTGTTACATATTTACCATAGTTTAATGTAATGGAACACTGAAATGAAATTATAAAAAATAGCAATACTAATATTTTCAGAGTACTGACAACTAATATGACAGTATAAGGACAAAAACTCACCTGATTTGTCTGGCTGCTCAGGTAATTGTCAAAGTCATCATCATTTACAGTATCCTTCTGATGCATCGAACCGTTTGGCACTAAGCAAAATTATACCAAAGACAGAGAGAGACAGTGTGTCAGTTAGTTTTACTTAGTTCAGTGCACCATGATGTTGATACGAAATAATGACACACAGCAAAAGTAAATTACACTTGGAAATTATTATGTCTAAGCAAGAACAACAAGTAAAAGCATATTAATAAATCTAAATTGCTTCATCGGTCAATTGTCACATAGAGAGCTAGATTAATATCAAGACTGGTCTACTACATAAAATATGATTCACAGAAGGAGTGACAATTTATAAATGCACACAAGTGAGACGGCGAGAAACACATCAGTAAACCGAACACCCCTTAAAGAGACAGTTCACACAAAATGAAATTTCTCATCCACATGTTGTCCAGTTGACTTTCTTTGGCTAAATGATGGCCTCAGTCACCATTAATTTTTATGGCATGGGGAAAAAAATGTAATTAAAGTGAATGCTGACTTAAGGTGTATGGCCCTACCATTATGTGTTTCACAGAAGAACAGAACAAAGTAATACCGGTTTATAATAACATGAGGGTGAGTAAATGATGACAGAAATTTAATGTTTGAGTGAACTGTCCCTTTAAAAGAGGACAGAAAACGAATCTTTTCATCACATACCTTTGTTTCCTTGTCCTTTAGGTCTCTGATTTTGGGTTCAAAGTGTGCAGGCAGTGACAAAAAGACACACAAAAAAAACACTATGAACATCAGTTTATCACGAACACAACATGGATACAATGATTCGGCCTAGCAGAAACAGCTATCAAATACCCAAGACTCCCAGTTTGTGGAGAAACGGCTTGACTATGACTGACGTTGGCTGAGTTTTACAACATAATGAAGAGCCCTACTGTGCGTTAGTTTGTTTTGAAACGTGTATTCCTTCCAAGCGCGCCAGTAATGCTGTCTAGGTAGGCAGCTCACTAGGTTTCAAAACACAGCCACTACCTGTACATGCACTATCATGCTTAACGTTATATAGTTAACGTATATAGATGGAACCTGATCGACAGTTGTCGCAGACATCCTCCGGGAGCCCGAGCTGATCGCTGTTATGACTGTCCACGGCTGTCTCTCCTGCCACCGCTGCGGGTTCACGTTGTTTTTCCTCTCTCCGGGTTGTCTTATAATCAAAGCGTATTTCTCAGGCGTTGATCTCCTCGCCCGGTTTCAAACGGTCGGCGATACTGACAGCGAAAGTCAAACGGCTGGGGGAGGTTGCTGCTGTGTGATGTGTTTAAGTTAGTCCGAAACATTCACACCGTATAACGTCTGGAGAGAATATTACCCCTGCTCTGCTCCACAATGGCGGATGGGCTCTGACTCTCACTTCCGTTTGAGCGCTGACCTTCCGCCGCTGACGTAAAAGAGGAGACAAGCGCCTGCTTTTTCATACAGTGCAAAATATTACTCTTGCGATTACTAATGTTAGCTTTATTGTGATATTAATCTATTTTGTACGTTTGGTGGGTTTACAACGCGGTTTCTTTCGGCTTGTTTTTGGTTAGATTTCTGTATATTTATTAAGGATCACACATAGACTGTATTAAGGGACACATCATGCCCAGCTTTTAACTGTTTCGAAACTGTCTATGGTTTTTCGCTTATGACATATTTTATCATAAAGGACTATATTTAAATAATCTGCTGATTCTGTTAGCTAAATTTAGCATACATATTATGTAAATAAACCTTTGTTTTCAATTAAAAGTTCAACGATAACTTAAAGGTGCAGTGTGTAAATTTTAGCGGCATCTAGCGGTGAGGTTGCGAATTGCAACCAACGGCTCAGTCCCCCGCTCACCCCTCCCTTTAGAGAAGCTACGGTGGCCGATACAGGACTAAGATGTCGTCGGTAAAGACAGCAGAGAGCAATGCGATTTCTTTACAAAGGTAAATTAAGGAATTATATTTACTTAATTATTTAATAAATCGATGTTATTGCGAATATTAATGTACTTGTTCTTCATTGTGTCAGTGTTTTATTCGCAAGAACAACAAAGTGACGAAACGCGCTGTGAAGAGCAGTTTGTCCGTTTAGGGCTACTGTAGAAACATGGTGGCGACTTCCATGTAAGGGGACCCGCGGTGTATGTAGATATAAATTGCTCAATCTAAAGTAATAAAAACATAACGGTTCATTAAGTAAGGTCTTTATACACCTCTGAAAACATAGTTATGTATATTATATTGCATTTCTGTCAATAGATCGATGTAAATATTACACATTGCACCTAGCAATATTAAGTTTGGGAAAAATATTTAACATTTTAGTTTACTTCCAATTTTTTGATTTTTTTTAATAGTAAAATTTGCACACTGAGAAACAAAAATCCATAGGCTACAAAACAAAATGCTGGCAAAATGTGTTTGGAAGTGATATAAAGATATATTTCCATGACCATGGGATAGAAAAACGACAGAAAAATAATATTAAAATAAAAAACATCATATTTTCAAATATTAATATTATTCAGAGTATTATGTATTCGTTTGTAATTTAACAGTTATACTTTGGGGGGAAATTGTTATTATTATAAAAAAAGCTATTATTTTACATTATTTTAATAATTAAATCATATAACAAACATTTTACAAAATAATTTAAAAAATCGAGTCTATATATTTTTATTACTAGAGGGCATAACCAAACAGGTGGGTGAAAATGAGAAATAACATATACATGAAAAGACAACATTAAGTCTGCTATAACTGCTCTTTACCGCTTAGTGGCACTGTTTTATTTTGTACGAAAATAACTTGACCGTCAAAATAAAAGTCCTGTTACTGCTTATAACTCCTAGAACCATCAGAAATATAGTAACTTAATTTGCGAAGCGCAAGAAGATCCAGTCTATATCTGTTATGTTATATCTGTTATAAATAATTTCCCATAAGGATCATTCTGTCTTCAAGTCATTCTGTCAGACTGTTCTCAGACTGAGTTGCTTTTCTATTAATTAATTAATTGATTTGTTGATTTTTTTAATGTTGATTTTTACAAAATACAAATACAAAAATGTACCTGTATCTGTCACATTATTACAAACGTGCATAATATGACTTAAAATTGTTATTTTACTTCAATATATATTATTTTAATATTTATTTAATATTTTTATTTTGTTGCTGTTGTTGTGCACAGTTAAACTGAACTTTAATTCTTGAAACGGAGTGTAGTCCAATCCTCGGCCATGCTGAGCTGGTGTGAGTGTTTCTGGCTTCAGCTCACTGTGTGGGGCTGATCCTCCTGAAACACTCCTGCATACTCAGGCTGGGCTTTGGAGTATGCAGAACATGCTGACAGTGATAGCAAACGCACTTAAGGGTGGTGCCAAAATAAATGTAGGTATTATAATGTATATGTGTTTGCTGTAAATGAGACAGAGCATTGAAAGATTCAAGCTCTGTTTAGCTTAGAGGCATTAAAAGATTTAGCGAGGCTAAACTAGATCTCTGTAGTCTCATCGACCTTGTAGATGGTGTACCGTAAATGCAGAGTCATGTTTACTGTAAATGAAATAGCCACTGAATTGACCAGACTTGATTAAACTGCAGCTTCTTCCCTGATTTGGTCACTCTATTCTGTGTTAAATGGTCATAATTGGTTGTTTTTAGCTTTTCACACTCTGTGACACTGTCCAAGTGCAACTGAGAATTGGTATAATAATTTGTTTGGTCTGACATGGATGTCAACACGGACAATATTGTGGTTTTTTTCTGATATGTAGTCTTTCTACTATTTATGTTATCATTCTTTGTTTCATTTACAGTATGTAAATGCAATATGTTTCTACCTTTTTGCTTGTTTTATAGGGTGCCCAAACAGTGTCAGAGGTAAGATATTAGGTTTGGATTCTACACTCACTTAACTTCTCCTTAATGATCCAGAAACACCAGCACAACCACCCCAGTATTAATTAGTTAGTTAGTTAGTTAGTGATATTTTTATTTATTTATTTATAGCTCATTTAAAAAATATATGATTACAATTTTTTAAGAATATAACTGATCTATCTTAGTTATTATAATTTGCCAACCAAATACACTACTGTTTAAAAGTTTGAGGTTGGTAAGATTTAAAAATATATATATCTCTGCTGCAATATTATTACAATTTAAAATAACTATTTTCTATTTTAATATATTTTAAAATGTAATTTATTACCGTGAAGGCAAAGCTGAATTTTTAGCATCATTCCTCTAGTCTTCAGTGTCACATGGTCCTTCAGAAATCATTTTAATATGCTGATTTGGTGTTCAAGAAACATTTCTTATTATCATTGTTGAAAAGAGTTGTGCTTAATATTTTTTTGGAAACTGTGATACTTTTTTTCAGTATTTATTGATGAATAGAAAGTTGAACATTTATTTGAAATATATATTTTTGTAACAATTTATATTTCTTTACTGCCACTTTGATTAATTATAGACATCCTTGCTGAATATAACTATTAATTTCTTTTAAATAAATGAATGCTAGTGTGTTTATTTTAGGTACATTTGTGGCACGTTTCACTGTGGGTCCACATAATGGTTTTCAATGTTTAGTCAGTTCTTGTCAAGTTAAATGCATTCTGCCAGTATTTCTGTTTTAAAATAATTTTTCACAGTTTTATTAATGCACTCTATTCTTCTCCAGGGCTCGGGAATTGTGGTATCAGCACGTTCTTTTGCTGCCTTGACACCTCAGGCCAGCTTTGACATCAAGGTAAAGTTGTCATATTAACTTAAAAGCATGCACAAACAACTTAGTTCATTCAAGAACTTGTTTGATTTCAGAGATGTGACCTTCATCGCTTGGATGAAGGCCCTTCGGTGCAGACGGTGCTCACCAGAGAGGATGGACTCAGGTACTACCGCACTATGCAGACCATGAGACGCATGGAGCTAAAGGCAGATCAGCTGTACAAGCAGAAGATCATACGAGGATTCTGTCATCTTTATGATGGCCAGGTAAGACTAAACCGAATGCCTTGTAAGTCTATAATAGCTGTTTACACACAGTCACTGTAAAATGATTTATATTTTTGCTACCTCTAAGGAGGCCTGTGCTGTAGGCATTGAGGCTGGTATCAATCCCACGGATCACCTGATCACAGCATATAGGGGTCATGGATACACCTACACCAGAGGTGTGTCTGTGAAAGAGATCATGGCAGAGCTCACAGGTGAGGACTTTCTTCATAAAGCTGCATTAAAATAGAAATCCTGCAGTTTATCAGAGATCTTGATTTTCCAAAAGAATACAGTCTGCATTTGAATAATCTCAATCTCCATCCTGATTCTTAAAACCCCAAGAATGATCTTTTACCCTGCCTGTGGTCTACACCACATTTCTGCTGAATCTACAGCCTCATTAAGTGTTATTTTACAATGCTGTGCCTTGAGCACTAATTCAAATGATTTCTGAAAGGATATTCAACTCTGAGGACTGGAGTAATGATTGCTAAAAAAAAACATCACAGCAATAAATCACATCTGATAATATATTAAAACAAAAAACATGTACTTTAATAACATTGTAAAATTATTTCACAATATTTACCATATTTATTTTTTTATCAAAAAATGCAGCAATGGTGAGCTTAAGAGACTTCTTTCAAATACATAAGAAAGCCCATTAAAAAACTAACAAGTAAAAAACTTTGAACGACAGTGTTTATGTATAGCTGTATATAAATAGCAACTGAACTGCATAGTTTGCCTCCTGTTGTTGATTTTTAAATTTAAAGGGATAGTTCACACGTATACGTCGTGGTACTGTCGTGAACGCACATTGAATTCTGGCATATTTATTTTTTTATCAAAAAATGCAGCAATGGTGAGCTTAAGAGACTTCTTTCAAATACATAAGAAAGCCCATTAAAAAACTAACAAGTAAAAAACTTTGAACGACAGTGTTTATGTATAGCTGTATATAAATAGCAACTGAACTGCATAGTTTGCCTCCTGTTGTTGATTTTTAAATTTAAAGGGATAGTTCACACGTATATGTCGTGGTACTGTCGTGAACGCACATTGAATTCTGGCAGGGAAGAGAAGAAATTGTTGAATAAAATCGTTATTTTTGTTTTCTTTGTGCACAAAAAATATTCTCATAGCTTTATAAAATTAGGGATGAACCACTGATGTCATATGGACTATTTTAACGATGTCCTTACTACCTTTCTGGGCCTTGAAATTGGTAGTTCCGTTGCTGTCTATGGAGGCTAAGAGAGCTCTCGATTTCATCAAAAATATCTTAATTTGTGTTCTGAAGATGAACGGGTTTGGAACGCCAGGTTAAGAAATTAATGACAGAATTTTAATTCTCAGCTCAGCTGAGAGAGAACTTCTTACATATCCAAAATGGACTGTAACTAAAAAATACCAAATGAATCTGAATTAGTGCTGTCAAATGATTAATCGCATCCAATATAAAAGTTTTTGTTTGCATAATATATGTGTGTGTTCTGTGGATTTTTATTATGTATATATAAATCCACACACATACATCTCCCTTGTATTTTCATCTGTGAGAATAATAAATATGGCATGGGGACATCAGTGGAACGGGCCTCAGCCAGCACAGATTATTACAAGAGAGGAGACTACATTCCTGGTCTGAGGGTATTTTTTTTTTCTTTCTGTTTTTAGTTTTTCTAGCTGCCTCATCCTGTTTTTATGTTCACTAGTGCATGCAAATGTATACAGAAGTACATAAAAGGTACACCAGCCAAGCAAATGAGCAAATAAGTCAAGCCTGTTTCTTTGTTTTCTCCAGGTGGATGGTATGGATGTTCTCAGCGTGAGAGAGGCAACCAGGTTTGCGGCAGATTACTGCAGATCTGGAAAGGTAAAAGAAAAGTGACATATTTTACTTGCTTAACAAGTCAAGGAGAGGTGATAGATTTAAAGGGTTAGTTCACCCAAAAATTTAAATTTGTCCATAAATTACTCACCCTCAAGTCATCCTAGGTGTATATGACTTTCTTCTTTCAGACGAATCCAGTTGGAGTTATATTAAAAATTGTCTTTGATCTTTCAAGCTGTTTCATGGCACTCAGCGGGTGTTGCATGCATCAGTCCAAAAGAAGTTAAATAAAAAGCGCCCATCCATAAAAAAATTGTCTAACACGGCTCCGGGGGGTGAACAAAGGCCTTCTGTAGTGAATCGATGCGTTTTTGTAAGAAAATATATCCATATTCAAAACGTAATAATCACTTTAATGTAGCTTGCGCCAACAGTTGTACACGGAAGCAGCTCCGGGCTAATGAGGTATGAGGTCGGCGTTGCGCATGCACTGGTGAGTCTCGTGAAAACCAACGTTTGTTAACAGGAGCAAAGAAAGCAAAGTTTCCTTACTTTAGCAAAGGAAAACCAGTCTCCTCTTGGCTTATATCGAAATCCTCCGACATTCTTCTTTACAAATCCTCATTTTGTACTACTTATTCTTGACCGTTGTTTTGTTTTGATCTCTCCCCTGCGCTTCCGGGCACTTTTTATTTAACTTCTTTTGGACTGATACATGCAACACCCGCCGAGTGCCTTGAAACAGCTTGAAAGATCAAAGACAATTTTTAATATAACTCCGACTGGATTCGTCTGAAAGAAGAAAGCCATATACACCTAGGATTACTTAAGGGTGAGTAATTTATTTGCTAATTTTTATTTTTGGGTGAACTAACCCTTTAAAGGAGTAGTTCACCCTAACATTTGCTGAAAATGTACTCACCCTCAGGCTGTACGAAATGTAGATTTTGTTTTTTCATCAGAACAGATTTGGAGAAATGTAGCATTACATCACTTGCTCACCAATGGATCCTCTAGAGTGATTGGGTGCCATCAGAATGGGAGTCAAAAAAGATGATAAAACATCACAATAATCCACAAGTAATCCACAAGACTCTATGACTAAAACTATGTCTTGTGAAGTAAAAAGCTGCATGTTTGTGATAAACAAATGTATCATAAAGAAATTTTAACTTCAATCTTTTGGTCAAAATACCACAATAATCCATAATAACAGTTTCCTCCAGTGGAAAAAGTCATCTTACATCAAAATCCACCAACATATTTGTTTAAAACTGTTTGTGCTTTGTGCTTGATCTGTGTATATTTCTCTCCTGATTCAGATTAAATGACTTTTTCACTGGAGAAAGCAACATTATGGAGTTGTATTTTAGCCAGATGCCCTTTGAAATTCTTGGATTTTTGATGGACTGGAGACGTGTAGATTACTTGTGGATTATTGCAATGTTTTTATCAGCTGTTTGCACTCTCATTCTGACGGCACCCATTCACTAAAGAGGATCTATTGGTGAGCAAGTGATGTAATGCTAAATTTCTCCAAATCTTTTTCCATGAAGAAACAAACTCATTTACATCTTGGATGTCTTGAGGGTGAGTAAATTTACAGCAAATGTTCGTATTGGGTGGAACTTTTCCTTTAAGCACAGGCTAGTTTTGTAAACGAAAGTGATTGTTGGGAGATCCGGTCTGTGACTGGTGGGCAAATGTTTGGCCTGTGCTCTTCAGGGTCCCATACTAATGGAGCTCCAGACATATCGTTACCACGGCCACAGCATGAGCGATCCTGGGGTCAGGTGAGGTTGACCTTCAACCTTCCCCCCATGGCAGGCGCTCATCCTTCCTCGGTTCATTTAAAACCCTATCCTCATCTGCTAACCTCCATAATCACAGTCCTTCCTCTTTAGTTTTAGGTAGTTTGAGCATCATTTCAGTGAGCTCACAATTTTCTGTACTCTAAATCCGTGCTTTTCTCTTCTTAGTTATCGCACACGTGAGGAGATTCAGGATGTTCGCAGTAAGAGTGACCCTATCACTATGCTGAAGGATCGTATGATTAGTAACAACATGGCTAGCCTGGAAGAGATCAAGGTACTTGATGCATTACCAGGTACTTAATGAATACTAGAGGGTTAACACCAACTGTATCACCATGTTATGTTGTTGGAACCATGACAGGACATTGATGCTGAGATTCGTAAGGAGATAGAAGAAGCAGCACAGTTTGCTACCTCTGATCCAGAGCCCCCACTGGAGGATTTGTGCAACCACATCTTCTACAATGATGCACCTTTAGAGGTCAGAGGCACCAACCCTTGGATGAAGCTGAAATCCATCAGCTAAAGAACCTGCTGATAATTCAGCACTTCATTCCTCGTAGTACGGACGGGAGCTCTGTTCCTAAACCTATACGCACAAAAAGATGGATGAAATAGTTTATCCATAAAGTCATAATTACAATCCATAACCGCTGTTATTGCCTCTCTAATTAGCAACCAGTTTGGCAGACTATTAATATATTAGGAAACATAGCATAACTTACAGCAATAAATATTTAGAGCAATACTGGAAAAATAGATTATGAATAAACGAATGGGCATCATCTTTACTTGTAAATGTGAAATCAAAGGTCTATGAATGAAATGTAGGCCTATTAAAAATTATTTGTAACAATGATACAATTTTCATGTCCTATAGTAGTGTGGTGCTGTAATTTCTTGAATTATGAGTTCATTCGTCATTTTAATATAATATCCCAAAGCCTAAATTTCTGTTAGTAGCCTGCCAAAACTTTCACTAGCATCTAAGCTTATGCAAATATTAGTCAGCACATTTGCCCTGTAACCTGTATTCAGGATTTCAGAACACTAAAATGGATGGAATTAATAAATATGTAATAAATTGGCTTACATTTGTGTCAGTTGTGTTGAGTGCTGTCCACCGAATGAATGCAAAGTCCTGAGTCACTGAAACACACAAAAGAAATGACCATAGACTCACCAGCAGGTGTCGCACTCTCCACCTGCGTGAATCCAGCGTCAACTCAAAGCTGACAGGGCGCTTTCTTACATACTGTACATTCCAATGTAATTTGATACCACCCAAAAAAATATGATAGATGATTATAAATCAGTCTACATATTGACGAGTGTACACATACTACGCGGGATTGTTAAATTCATGCGCAGTAGATTTCATTGTAAGCAAAAGAGATCCATTGGAATAGGCTTAAGAAATAACTATTAAAATGATCATAAATGATTTTCATTTATGGTTGCATGTAGAGGAAGAAATAATGCAAAGTCTGAATAGGTGAAGCTAGGCCTAAATGTACGGATCATATAGCTGACCGTACACATTTGCTAGCTTCCATACAGTAAAGTATGATATTAACTGAATGTAATTATTATATAAAAACGTGTCAGCTCAGATCACAGAATGGACTGCGCTCTCACCTGCCCGTCTATGAGCGCCACAGCTTCAGCCACACCCTCTGAGAATGATTGACATGCATATCAGCCAATCAGATGCGTCATACTGAAAGAAGCGGAAGTGAATAGAGAGCGTGAACGTGTTTTTTCTGTCAAAAGGGGACAGTGGCGAGAGAGAGAGAGAGAGAGAGAGAGAGGGCGACTGGCGACTGGCGACTGGCGACTGGCGCGAGATCAGGGGCACGGTCTTTCTATTTCTATGGAAACGCTGCACTGACCGACAGAGGTGAGTGGAGGAGAAGGTGGCGGCGCTTTCGGATGCGTTACGCACGTAACGGATTCCCAGCTTTCTTCCCTCAGTGTCAAGAGCGCGGAAACCAACAGGCATCTCCTCAAAGTAGCTCAGAATTGTTCTTTTGAACCTGAATTATAAAAGAAGGAACCTCCAAAAAGTGAAGATGCCCCTGGCACAACTAGTTGACCCTTGGCGAAAGATGGCAATCGGGAGTGCGGCGAGCGAGGTGAGTCTCCACCGTATATAACGTTTATAGCTGACCGTACACATTTTCTAGTTTCCATACAGTAAAGTATGATATTAACTGAATGTAATTATTATATAAAAACGTGTCAGCTCAGATCACAGAATGGACTGCGCTCTCACCTGCCCGTCTATGAGCGCCACAGCTTCAGCCCCACCCTCTGAGAATGATTGACATGCATATCAGCCAATCAGATGCGTCATACTGAAAGAAGCGGAAGTGAATAGAGAGCGTGAACGTGTTTTTTCTGTCAAAAGGGGACAGTGGCGAGAGAGAGAGAGGGCGACTGGCGACTGGCGCGAGATCAGGGGCACGGTCTTTCTATTTCTATGGAAACGCTGCACTGACCGACAGAGGTGAGTGGAGGAGAAGGTGGCGGCGCTTTCGGATGCGTTACGCACGTAACGGATTCCCAGCTTTCTTCCCTCAGTGTCAAGAGCGCGGAAACCAACAGGCATCTCCTCAAAGTAGCTCAGAATTGTTCTTTTGAACCTGAATTATAAAAGAAGGAACCTCCAAAAAGTGAAGATGCCCCTGGCACAACTAGTTGACCCTTGGCGAAAGATGGCAATCGGGAGTGCGGCGAGCGAGGTGAGTCTCCACCGTATATAACGTTAAAGGTTTATGTCACTGATATGTTCATTATAAATTCGTTACTTCTGTTTTTAGAGGCCGTTTCTGTGTGTCGTTGTTGTACAACCTGTTCCAGATCTGTATCTGTATATCTGATGCTGGGGATTAGCGACTGTAGAGTATGACCCTGTTATGTCTGTGCGTAAATGCTTTTAAAACGACCCGTTTGCCAAAGGCCACGGATACATTTCTCTTCTTTTTTGACTTGTAGTTTCTTTGTAACTATCATTTGAGTTCACTGTGATCACTGTGCTTTGTTAATGGAGACTGAAGTTTTAATGAATGAGACTACGTAATGTTCACGGATCTCAGGCTGATTCATACCGGTGCTGTGATCATGACAGTTGAATGATGCATCGGTTCATGTGTGGGACTCTTTGCGTTATCACCGAGGAATTTATGTAAATCAGTTTATTTAACCTGTTTAATATAATAATAATAATAATAACGTCTCTGTGTATAAAACATTATCTTTTTAATTGTTCACATGCTTTGAGTCATGAGATCAGACCAATTGAAAATATTTTTTTGGACATTTTTAGGATCATTCCAGAGAATTCTGAAGAGAAACACACAATTCACACCTGAAAATGAAAATCCTTTCATCGTTTAGTCACCCACAATTATTCCAAATATTTTTGACTTTCTTTTCTGTATGTGGAGCACAAAAGGAAATGTTAGGAAGAATGACGATGAATGGTGACTGAGGCTGTTCTGCCAAATTTCTTTTCTTGTTCTATAGAATTTTTTCATTTTAAGTAAACTGTCCTTTTAAGGGGCAACATTTTCCCCTGAAATAATTTTTTATGGGTTTTTAAGGTGTGTTCTGCTAGTTCAAGTAAAATGTTTCTATTGAGTCAATTAATTGAAACCGTCACTAGAGTTTGTGACCCACTAGATAAGCCTAAACTGTAAAAAAAATTATCAGTGACATTTACAGTAAAATACCGGCAACTGTGGTTGCCAGAAATTCACCGTATTAAACCATAATGCACACAACTGATAAGAAAAAACTAAGAAAAAATTTATTTCAACAAAAAAAAACATCAAATATGAAATTTGTGTCAATTTACGGTTTTTCACTGTAAATTATACAGTGTCATTCACACAAACACTAAACCCCATAACGGTGACACACATGATACTGAAATAATGCAATAAACATTAATTTAACAACATTAGATGTAAGATTAAACCATAATGCACACAACTGATAAGAAAAAACTAAGAAAAAAATTTTCAACAAAAAAAAACATCAAATATGAAATTTGTGTCAATTTACGGTTTTTCACTGTAAATTATACAATTTCTTTTTCACTTCCAAAAACCATATTTTTAACAGTATTTTACTGTAAAATTACATTAAATGTAGTTAACGTGAGGTGACTGAGGGGATACGCGAACAAAACTCTTGAGTTTTGGCATTCATTTAATTCTACCCCAACTTAAAGTAACATTAAAACTGAACACGTATTTCTGACAAGCAAAATGCCGCTTCTCATGTAAAAACAGGAAAGTGGGAGTTTAAGGGGCAACATTTTCCCACTGCAATTAATTTTTATGGACATTTTTTCTTCAGATTATAAAAAGGTAAGAAAGAGATTAGTTCTTTAAAGAACCTTTGACTGAATGGTTCTTTGTGGAACCAAAATGGTTCTTCTATGGCATCGCTGTGAAGAACCTTTTAAGTAGGGGTGTGCCGATCCGATATTCAGTATCGGTATTGCTCCGATACTGGCATTTTCTGCTGTATATTTCTGTATTTCTACTATATAAATCCAATATAGTGCGTATACTATTCTGTGTTATTATTAAGCCCCACGAAAGCCACAAAAACATTATAAAGCATCATTTCAAGTGTTCTGAAGCTTTTCCATAGTTTAATGTGAGGTACAGATGAATATTTAAGTCAAGTTCACGTAAACTCTTCTCTCCGCAGCTGCTGTCTGTCATCCTTAATTCAGCATTAAAACTATGCGTCACATTATGACAGTCAAGACGATGAAACTCTCTCCAAGATGATTAAATGTTCCTAATGTTATACTTGATCTGTAAATAAAGATAAATGTTTTTACATAAAAGGAATTTATCTTGCTGGAGTTTCGTGCTGTTTCGGCACTCATGATTTTTCTAGAGTAACTTTTACTACTGAATTATCCATTAACCTAGTTTATAATAGTATTTTTGTCATAGATTGTAATTATATTTTTTGTTTATTTTTTCTTTATAATGATGCTGTCTATATTTAGTAGATTGTGTGTAAAATACAAAAGAGTGATGATCGACCTACACATTGAGGTATAGAAATTCTACACTCAATTAAAGAAAACTGCACTGGTATCGGCAGATACTCAGAATTTTTGGTATCGGATCGATATCGGTTCTGAAAAAGTGGTATCGAGCCATCCCTACTTTTAAGCACCTTTACTTTTAAGAACCTTTATTTTTAAGAGTGTAACATGTAAAGTGCTTCTGATGCTTCTTTGATTAATTTCATCGCTGAAAATTTACTGAAAATTCAATACCCCTTACTTTGACTTTTCCCACGCTGATTTGCAAAGGGTAACAATTCTTTGAATTCAATAACATACATGCAAATTACTGCAGGCTTATCCAGTAGGTTAGAAAAACTCATATTCAGTCCAGCCTGCTCTGTCATCTACTCTGGAATAGCACAGTGTTCAGAAATTACTGCTACAACCCCATTGATCCACATGTAATAAAATCTGCTGTAAAGCTGCTGAGATGGTATGTGAAAGAGACAGAGAGAAAAGAGAGGCAGGTAACACAATGTTCCCTTCCAGGCAGCAGATGATCACGGGCCATCCATCAGTTTCACTCCCGCGGGGTGACAGATCGGCCTGTCTGAGTCGCCACCTTGACTAATTAACCCGAAACGGTCAATAACAGCATGTAGGCCCGGTCTAACGAGACGTTCCACCACTGTCATTTGGTACAGAGGAGCAGACGTTCATACTGGCACGAGTGTGTGTCTGCTGTAGTAATCAAGGCTTTGTATCGCTCTTAGAAACTCATCCACACTGCGATTGTTATGTTCAGTGTCATCTCAGACGGACCACCTACAGACCGCCCACAGTCAGTTCGATGACCATCTGATGATTCATATTTTATACAAAACTGAAAAGCACTTGTGAAATTCAGAAGCTCCAATCAGATTGTCAGACAGCAGCACAACATCCGGGAGTGTTGGTAAACCAGGTACCAGTTGGTAATATAACTATTTGTCATAAGGGATGCTTGGTACCATATTTGTTATTGAGAGATTTTTGATTTATC